ATATAAAATAATATGTAAATAATATGCCAGAAATTAATATAATGAATGCTATTATATAAAATCAAAAGTATAAAATAATAAAATAACACAAAAATGATAAATTAATATATGTATTTGTAATATAAATATATAAAAATAAAATATAAATATACAACTAAAAGAGTTGATGGTTATCGAAAGAAATGATTGAGTTCAATTCTCAAACTATTTAACACCCTATATTAAGGGGGTGTCATTAGGCATTAGCAATCAGCTATGAAAGAAAAAAAATAGCATTAGCTTCTAATAATATAATGTGATTTTTTTTCTTCTAAAATTTGTTTTAACAAATTCAAAACTTTTATTATATTATATATACATACATCTCCTTCTTCCCCCTCTCTCTCTATATATAATATAAATCAATTTGAAATTCTTTTAATTAACATATTATATTATTTAAGTTTTCTTTAATATCTTGTTTATATTGATTAATATATTATATTGTTAAAATTTTGTTTTAATTATATTATGAAATTTTATAATTGACTAATGTTTCAAGATTTTTTTTTTTGTCATTTTATATTTTTCATTTAGCTTATTAGCTAGTTTTTACCAAATATAATTTATTCATCAACTAGCTTAATTTATTAAATATAACATTAACTCATCATTTACTAACTAGTTTATTAATCACCATTTTATAAAATATAAACCAAAATACAAATGAGTATAGGGTGGACGGGTGGAGAGTGGAATACAACGGAAAAGGGGGAAGGTGGTGTCGTCATAATAATTAAGGCATTGCTTGATAAAATAGAGTAAATTACAAAAATCGCCCTTGAGGTTTACGAAATCTCTGGTATTTATCCCTATGTTTTTGAATTTATAAGAAACGTTAACAAGAGATGCATTTCGTTACAGATTTCATCCCTCGTTCTGACAACCAACTCCGGCGACACAATTCCCTTTGACGACTGCAACTCCTCCCCTCGAACTCCGACGACTACAATTTGTTCCCCCTTTATCTCAAATTCAACAAACTCAATAACATCATGAAAGGTAACACCCGCATTCTTAATATTATCATCTCTACCCTATCTCTGGCTTTAGATTCACACTTTAGGAATACCATAAATGCGATTTGTGAAAAAGAAACCGGACAAAATTTTAAAAAATACATATTCAGGACTAATAAAAAAAGAAATTAGATATTTTCCAGTAAAAGGTTTGGGTTGAAGACAAATGAATTATGAGAAAGGTTATGATTTTGTCATGGTGACGACTGGGTTCGTAGATGTGGAGTATCCATGGGATTCGACTTCTACGTCTACACTGGAAGGGAAATGGGCGAAGGAGAAGTCAGAAAGATGGTTGGTCATTAGAGAAGGTGATGTAGATCCATTTCGTTAAGTATTCACTAGAAGGGTACTCGCATAATGCAGTGAGATATATTTCGATTTCAGTATTTTATTTTATTTTTTTGGTCTTCGTCGATGTTATAATATGGTTTATATGGTTTTGAGCAAGCAATGCTTTGTTATTAATAATATATAAATTTGAATATATCAAAAAAATTGAAAAAATATAAAAGTTCTCATATTTTGGTTTAATAATATAATTTTCATAAAGATAATAACTAAGTATTCTGTTAGAACTTAATAATTATCTTAATTACATTTTAGATTTTATAATTAAAATAAGAATTTTATCATGTATATGATTATATTAATTTATAGTTAGTTACACAAATTCAAACATTAAGCTTAATAAGTTGTATTTACGTATAATTTACTTGTAATATTGAATTTTAAGTAATATGCATCAATAAACATGACTTCATGTATAAAAGATGTTTTTTTAAGAGTTTTTATCAAATGTTTTATAATAAAGTATAAATAAGCTATTTTTTAATAAATAAATAAAAAAAACACTTGAACGGCATCTGCAAACAGCCCTAACGGGATTAAAACCTTGATGACGTTTTTTCCAATTTTGGAAAGTCAAAGGCGAAAACCAGAGCTTCATAAATCTCATGGACTATTTCTGTAACCTACTCTTCTTGCAAATATATAAGCTGGTGGTTCATCTACTTTCCTTAGTCAACCATATTTCTATCCATCCTTCCCCTTTTATATAATTACTATGCCTTGAAAACCCTTCAAATTCATTCAAATCCGCCATGGATCACACCTCCATATCTCCTGCTTCTCAATTGTTATCTGCAATCTTCATCGTCTTCTTTGTTTCTTCATCTACTTCCGAAAAAGGTTTGTTGAATGAATCTACTCATGGATTCATCAGATCATCAAGTTCATTAACCAATCATTCTCTTTTTTCGCAGCTCCATATACCACATTTGCAAAAGACGCAACCGGAGCTCCGGCGGTCACATACTACGACTACATAGTGATCGGAGGTGGAACTTCCGGCTGTGCATTAGCGGCGACACTTTCACAAGGCGCAAAAGTTCTAGTCCTCGAAAGAGGTGACTTGCCATACGGCATCCCCACCGTCACCACCATAAATGGCTTCATCGACACACTCGCTAATCTCTCTCCGACGTCAGCCTCCCAGACTTTTATATCCACCGACGGCGTCGTCAACCAAAGGGGCCGCGTTTTGGGCGGTGGGTCCGCCCTGAACGCCGGCTTCTTCACTTGGGCGAGTGCCGATTTCATCAAGCAAGCAGGGTGGGATCCAAAACTGGTGAAAGAATCGTACGAGTGGGTGGGAAAGAAGGTGGCGTTTGAGCCAAAGGTGTTGGCATGGCAGTCGGCGGTGAGAGAAGGGTTGTTGGAGGCCGGAATATCGCCGAATAATGGGTTTTCTTATGAACACATATATGGGACTAAAGTTGGCGGCAGCATTTTCGATCGGAACGGCAAGAGACACACCGCTGCAGATTTGTTAGAGTACGCTGATCCAAGCAACATTACTGTCTACTTAAATGCGACGGTGCACCGGATATTGTTCGAAACCGATGGTGAGTGCATTAATTTCTCCGTTTCATATTTCTAACACTTGTCATATAACATGCAACATTGGATAATATTATGGCCATGTGATACATATGGTCACAAAATTTGTTACATTGATACGGTCCAGGATTTGACTATTTATTTTATACCAGCGGAGTTTTTTACAAGGACCATTTTTACTAAATCAAAAATATATATAAAATGTTACGGTAAAACTCAACGCTATCGTTTACTTACCGGTAAGATTTTAGGCTACCAAAACGACATCGTATGTCACAACTTACATGGTAAACACTAACCGTGGTAAGAGTTGTCGCAATTACTTACTGGATAAGACTTTTGGTTTTTGCCCTCGTTTTTACCGGATAAGATTCTTGGTACTTGTCATATTTATCCGATAAGGTAATGTAACTTGGTAAGCATTTACCCAAGTAAGCATTTGGTAAATGGCCCATAATAGTAACTACTATTTTTTATTAATAATTTTTTTTTAATTATTATGAATTATGAATTAATTAGTTAATTAATATAAATTTCAAATTAGTAATTAATTTTAATTGTAAATTATTCATTAAACTATTATTTATTT